ATTTGTTTTGAGAAGTTAAAAATCCAAATGCCAGTGTATTCTCACATGTATATTTCAGGCTTAAAATGAACAATACTTTTTTAAAGCACACGTATGAAAACCAGATTGCAGTCCCATAACTGAAAATCATTATATTGTATCATATAATTAACACTGCCTAAATGTAAATACGGTTCTTTCTAAGCAAAGAGATGACAGAATTAGTCATATGAAGGACTTAGGAAGGAGCCCAGTATAATTGCTATAAGCTCCACAACATTCGTGTAAGTTAAGACTTAGAAGAATGGCTTTTAACACCAGAAAAAAAAATTGTCTACTTCCTCCCGATTGTGAAAGTAAGCCTGGCAGCAGGAACTGAGCAAGGTAGTTTGATTCAGCAAAAAAGCCTTCAATTATAACTGACCACATTACTGTACTAGTTAAACATTAAGGTCTTAGTTAGAGATCTGCAACTTATTTTGCTATTAAGTGGCTGAAGTCATAGTTTGTATGAGTTTGTATGAATTTAGACCCAGTTCACTCAAATATGTAGGGCCATCTGGCTAAAAATTCTGATTATACCCTAACACTATCTATACCACTCAAAACCCAACATACCTACTTCCTGAATACAGACAGTTTGAGAAAAGGATAGTTAAAAGATCCCAAACGTTATGCAGAACTAAATGAGGTATAGTAAGATGTCCGATACCCTTAATTCTGGCAAAATTATACAAAAGAACAAAATGACAAGGAAGATTTTTTACACCAAGTTCTACAGAACCTGCAGCCTTGGAGAAAGGGTTGCTAAGGTATCTCAAAGCTATCCACACTCCTCCTTGCTGCAGGTCTGCTTGGGGAAGTCCATCACCTTGCCAAGAAATCTCAACTTGCAAAATATGACACCCTCCTAGTACTGTATCATAAGCTCCAGTCGAGACCAGAGCTTACATGAACGACATTATTCTGTCCCAGCTATGCCTCCATTGTTTCCAGCCTTGACCACTTGTGCCTGGAAGAGTGTTTTAAGATGCTCTTCTCTAGTGTAAAAAAAAGTCAGAATTGAGTTTAAACTCTCACACCAGGGACCCAAATGTCTCCTCAAATGTTTTATACATTCCACAATTTATTAAATAATGACTACAGCCTGGAAAGCTCAGCCTTAGAACACAGTACTCATTCTTCATTTTATAAAGCAGCTTCCAAGTCACCTGAAACAGCACTGAGAGCAAAACCAAGTCATACGACACATGCAAATTTCATGCATTTAACCACACCACTTTCCAGCCTGAGTATCGGTCTAAGACACACAGGCACAGATGAACACCTATTTTATAGTCATTGACACCTATTTTATTCATTGCCTCCCTCATCTTCAGCAAAATCAAGGCAAGACTCTAGAGTTCCTAATCACCCATCTTTTACTCTTTGCTGTCATGTCAAGCCCACAGCTGCATATTTTCCTGGCAACTGTGAATCAGCTCCCACTTTGATGACTGATTCACAGACCAGAATAAGACATGCTTACAAGAATTATTCTATTAACAACTTAAAACCAATCTGCTATCCCCAGCTGCTTGTTCCCCCGCAATATCCCTCTAGAGGTTGTGGCACTGTCAGTTATATTAGTTAGTTACACCAACATGCCCCAGACCAGATTCGGGGAAGTATCCAGGCTAAGAAAATTACTTCTGGTTTAGTTTTTTCTTTTAAGTAAATAATTTAGTTGGGACAACGAGAAGTAGAATAATGTTCCTGCTTGTAGACACAAAATGACTAGCAACTGAGGCACATGTCAATGATTTTAAAGGCGTTTACATGCCTCAGTAATTTTGTGCCAAATAATAAAAATAAATATAAACCCGTTAATATGGCACAGCTCAGCAGAACACAGATTTCAGCTGCTGTAGGTATCTCGTACTGAGGAGTTCCCTGAGCTGGAGAAGTGCCTAGAAGTTATTAAGACAGCTCACATTTTTGTTCTTTTAGTACGGAAACAAAATTTCTTGGCCAAAACATAGATGTGATGCCCTGAGTGGGTCATCTGTAGAGAGAGATTAACCTATGAGCACCCAGAGGCAGACGTGTGAGACAGAACACGTAACCCATTAAAGTATATGCTGCCTCGGGGACCGAGCAGGTACACAAATGTGCTTGCCTTCGCACAGGTGATGGGGGTTTTGGCAGAACCAGAAATTAATGCGAAGGATAACGTAGACTACTTCAAAAGCTGCTCTCCAGCTGACAAGTTACACCATCTCCATTAAATACATGTGGCAAATTGGTCCTGGCACACTTAATTCCACCAGCTTTTGAACGATTAACCATTAGGGAAGACTTCGGTACTTCAGAAGAACTGACATACCGCAGAATTACAGGACTTGAAATAGTCACAACTTCCCCCCGCACCACATTAAACGAAGCTACCCACAAAACCTGCGAAGAAGAAAATTACATGGTTGAGCAGCAAAGCATGCCTTTGAACATATCCCACTTTTTTGAAACCTTGATTGAAAGTGCTACTGGCAGCTGTGCCATAAGCTCATAAATGTGGTAAGGACTGATTAGAAATTACCTATTCTCCTTCTGCCCAAACTATTTCCATATTAGCAGGGATATAGATAGAATAAGTTATAACAGAAGCAACTCTACTAACGCAGCAGAAAGTGTTTCTGACCATGTGAGTATTTTGACTAACCAGATAAATACTTTCATAAGACATACATACAACACGGGAGCATATTTATAGTTTTCACAATTCTGAAAACGGCTACAGTGTTCTTGGAAAGTAATATTAATCCACACATCCAGATTAAGATACACTTGCATTGTAAACACAGTAGTGTTCTCAAATTTCCTGGGGAAATGTTAACACACTCCCCAACTTCTTAATTAGCGTGACCTTATAGAGTACATACTGAAAAGATGACAAAAGGAGGAGCTTTTTGGGGACCATTTTTCTCTCAAAATCTACTAAAAATGCACACAGCAAATAAATGTTAAAATTGTTGGCAGCAATTTACAAAAACAGAAAATCCAACTCTGCCCTGAGATCTTACCTAAAATTTTATTCTAGGCTTCCACTTTCACACACATAGTATAGTGACAGTATTTGTGTCCACACAAATGGAAGAGAAACAAATGCAACATTACTAAATTTATAATGCGAAACACAGTAACTGCAGAGGATAGCCAAGTGTGCAAGACAAAAAATTCCTATAGCTCAACTTGATTTTAAAATTGTGATTTGTCTGCAAAAGCTTGAGTGATGCTTAGGTAATAATTTTTTAATAGTTTAGAACAATTCCTCTTTCCATTTTTGGTCATCAAAGTCTAGACTTCACAAAGCTTACAATTAAGTCAACTTTTTCGATCCACAAATTTATTTTCTTATCTTTGTACTTACGCTATAAAAATGGTAGAATATATACATGCAAGTTTTCCAATATGAATGCTGATAAACAGATGATGTTATTTAGTTTCTTCCATACTTCCAGGGTCATAATGAAAAATTACTCATGTTTACCTTCCAAATAACCAGCTGTTGTAACTATCATTTCCCAAAAGTTTTGTTAATTCCTTCCATTCAGCTCTTTCAGAACAACATACAGAAATCACCCCAAATTAGCATCCCAGCTTTGACAAAAGTCTCCAACGAAACTTATGATTTTCCTCACAGCTAAAACAATTTGAGAATGCTAACTACAAGTTCTTAACCGGTGGAAGTCACCGCTTTACAGTAAAGCAATTTCTTATCCTACAGAGAGTGTGATAAAAGGGGCAGATACTACATATGAATCTGCATGAATGTCAAGAGATCCCATTGCCAAGTTACAACCACGATCAGAGCAGTAACATGAGAGAAAAAAGGATATAACCCCCCCCAAACAACATCTGTCAGTTTTGAAAGAAAACCCTGCAAGTTCATGATTTGCATTCTTCCACTGTACTGAGAAACCGGCAAGTAGTGACCATAAAATCTGACTAATAACATGTCTGAAAATCAACTGAAAAGTTACGTTAATTCAAACTTATGAAACCATATTTTGAAAAATATATGGCTCAGTTATTAAGAACACCAGCACTACCAGGAACTCGCATGCTACACAGAATCACATTCATCACAGAAGATGAAGGTACCTACAAACCAGCTCTGTGTCACTCATTAAAAATGAAAAGCGGTCAGAGCTTCATCTCATTCTTCTAATACTATCTTCTGAGGTAGGAAATGAAAACAAATCAATCCAGCAGCTAGGCCTTGTGTATAAAGAAGCAACAGCAGAGCTTCTAAAGAAATGGGGTTTCTATAGCATCTGCTTCTTGCAAGAGAATGCAGATAATTGATTGGGAAAATCTTGTTTCATGAGCTTTAACTTGAGAGTCCCTTTCATAAGCAAGAGGGGTGGGGGGAGTCATCAGCTACCCTGCCAGAGTAGCCCCAGGAGAGTAAAGCAATCTTAGTTTTATTTAAAACAAGGCTACAATTTTCTTTTTAATTATTTATGACTCAAATAGCTCTTAAAGGATCAATATTTCAGAGGCAAGATCAAAACAAACCAGACGGATATTAGAAAACATTATAATGCAACCCAAATGAGGCTTTGCACATTTCATTAGGTAAGAAATTTTTAAATTATTTCTTTCTCATCATCAAATCTTTTCTATTTCATATAATGCAGAATTTTAGTCTGCCTCATTACAAGCAGAGCATGAATTTTTCAAATCAGTAATTTTTTCCTGAAATGCCAAGTCTTAAGTTAACTTTGTTTTCCTTCAGCCAAATTAATTTCTATTCCCCGAACAGGCTTCATACTTGTAATCAGATTCAAAGTTAAATAACGCTGAAGAAAACTGGTTTCTGCTGTTCAATCTTATTTTACAAATAAGTACCATATATACAAGAAATCCTACTTTCCACTTCAACAGTAATATCTTACAGAACTGAACTCCTGTTTTGGATCACTCTTTACACATTCTTCATTTAAGTAGAGTACATTTTTAATACAACATAAGGCACTTACCCTTCTAACCTGACATCAGGTAAAGATCTGTTGAGTGCAATCATTTCACTTGCCATTAAATTAAATTGATTTATTTTAAACATTTCTTTCATTTTTTCTTGCTCCTCTTTCGGAATGACCACAGGCTTCCCCATCTCTCCAGGTCCTTCGTGTGGTTTTTGTATGGGTTCTGGAACTAAGAATAAATAAAATGTTGGTAACTACTTTTATGCTTGCTTTTGTTTGTTTATACTTTATTTTACACTGTAGAAGTGTTCCTGTTTAAAACAGAGTTCTAAACCCACCAAGTTTTGGAAATGAAAACAAATCTTCATATTTGGGAGTTTAACAGAAGTAGTTAAATGCTATTCTTAGACACCACAATTCATTTGAAAAAACAGTAAGGGTTTATATCTATCCATCATCATGTCCTAACTGACTAAAGTTCTGGAACAACAGACATTTATATCCCAGATTGTTCTTGCACACACAAGCTTTTCAGGAAAAGTTGAATCCCTGAAAACAGGGATTTTAGTAAAGATTAAATTAAAGTAAAATTGTAACTTTACATTTATTTCCACATTTTTATTTTGACAGAATGACATTGGCATTCACAGTTGAGAAATAATTTCTCTTGGCTTTACTAACGTTATTTTTAGTCAACGTAATTACATTTTGGAGTTTAACGGTAGTACTCGAAACAGAAACAGTAACACTTCACATGTTTAAACCAAAGAAATCTTAAATATCAAATATCTGATTAAACTGATGAGGGAGAGAGGGAGGAGGAAAAGCAATGCAGACTCTTGAATTATTTTTTTAAACAAAGTAAGTGAAAAACCAAAACATTAAAAAAACCTTACATTTCCTTTACAAATACCCATTTACTTTTCTCCTGAACTGTTTTAAATGCTCGAATACTGAATTTGAAGTATTACTACTTCTTCAGATTCACTACAAATTTTAATAAAAAAATAGTAATTTAAGATCTAAACAGAGGAACAGAAAGTATTTTAAAATAAAGGCACCAAAGCGCTCAGTAATAAGCCCAGCTTCAAATTATCTTTAATTTGCATCTAGGACAGCACAGTGTAATTAAAGCTTATGCCAAGAGCAAATAGCCATGTAAAGAATAAAAACAAAATTTATAAAAAAAGCCCAAGCCTTCCATCCTTGCTGAAACACTAAGACTTAAAATATATGCTTACTAATAAGTGAAACATTTTGCTAGTTTGCATTTAGCATTAATTGGTTACGAGCACAATGTGTTCCTTGAGAAACTTTCATTTTCAAGTACCTGAAGCAACTGCACTAGTTGCATTAACGCAGTAACATTTAGCAGAGAAAATCCTCCCACCACAGAGATGCTTTCTTTTTACCAAACTCCCCTTGACTGTAAGTTGAGCTACATAATACTAGAAGTTACCAGCCAGCCACTCATACACTAAAAACTGATAGAATCAGTATGTCCAAGCAGATCCTGAGCAGACGGATTTAGGCGCTTGTTTTAACCATAGGCTAAAATGAGCAAGCAGTTTGCTTTGCATCTTTGCCTCCTAAGAAAGTACAGTTAAACATGCCTCAAAACTTGCTGATTTGCAATTGCATAACTTTTTAAATAAGAATTTGTGCCTTTTGGGGGGTAATCAACATAAAATTATAGTATACAATAAGGCAATTATTTGGGCTTAATTTTATATATTCAGCTTGGTTTTATTACGTGTATATTAAGTGTATAACAATTAGCATATAGGTTCACTTGGACAGAAAATGATTAAATGAGTGTTCAACATACCTAAAATGATTAAACAAAAGCTATCAGAATATAGTTATATGTTAAAAAAAAATTATTCACCAGGTTTTTCAGCATTCTCAAGAGTGAATGTCTTATCCTACCGTATTTGTTATTTAGAAGAAAAAATAATTTCCTGTTTCATTTGTACTTCCAGTTGTTTAACTTTGACTAAACCAGTTGAACTGAATAGCTAAATTAACTGAAAACTCATCTTTCACATTTGTAGATCTTGCTCTTAGATGCTAGTCTAGCACATCAGTGAGTTGGATCCAGGTGTACAAATTCCTCAAATTCATCAGCGAATTTTCTAATTTCATTAGCAAATATATACTACTTGATTATACATTTTACCTAAATAAAGTACTCCCTTCTCCTGCAGAAAAATCCAGCAACAGCTAACTAGATCCACAGATATTTTATGGACCTCACTAAATGCAAAGACAGGCAAGCTTGGTGTGCAAGCACAGAGATGACTTTCCAAGAAGAGTTAACTATCTTCTCTCAGGTTTCTGCATTTACAGTAATCTATTTTCCCACAAAAGCATGTAGTTTTCATACAAACACAAACCAACAACATTCTCCCAAAATGACTAATACACGTTGTTAAAAATTCAAACTGCAGTGCTCTTTAAATGCAAAGACAGGCAAGCTTGGTGTGCAAGCACAGAGATGACTTTCCAAGAAGAGTTAACTATCTTCTCTCAGGTTTCTGCATTTACAGTAATCTATTTTCCCACAAAAGCATGTAGTTTTCATACAAACACAAACCAACAACATTCTCCCAAAATGACTAATACACGTTGTTAAAAATTCAAACTGCAGTGCTCTTTTGTCAGTTAACTATGAAAAAAATATTTCCTTTGAAGGACTGTAGACATGTACTGATGACATACTTCTAACAAACAGTAATTTAATTTAGAGCTACAAGTTTCAGAGCTAAATGAACGACTTAATCATCACCTGATCCAACGGGAAATGTAGTAACGTTTTTCCAGACATTTCTCATTTGTATCAGTAAAACATTAGTTCGAAGAGGGCTTGATCTTTTCCAGATCTTCATTAAAAGTCAGGAACTCTTTATGGACTATGGACTACAAATTCCTTTTTACGAGGCAATATGCCTGTGAAAAACAGGTACTTCAAAATCTAAGACCATCTAAAGCCAGAAAGAGGGACGGATTCTTCCCTGACATGTCTTTAGGGGCCACAACAATGGTAAATGACCAAAACGCCAAGTCCAGTCACCTTTGGAGGAGCCAGCACAATTACAGGAAAGCTGTTTTGACAGGTACAAGTTCAGAGTTGTTTTGTCTCTTACACACACCCCTGATTTATGACTGATTTATGATGAACAGTCCTATTTTCAAATATTAAATCTGTGGTTTATATCTTGAACCTACTCACTTTTCTTAAGAATTTTTTACGCAGATAAGAATATTCAGAACCAAGTCACAACTCAGATATTCCATCTTTACCAAAGAGCTCAAAATTCAGAACACAAGACCTTGATTGGCACTTGACAAAAATGACTGGTCCTAGTTTAAATTTGTCATTGCCCCAAGAAATGATTGTAAATAGCAAGTAGCTGAGATCACAAGACTCTTGCAATACCAATCCTAGGTCTGAAAGATTTTTTTTTCTTTTTTGTAGGGCTTCTAATCATTACACAAGTGGAATGTCCCTTGAGTGGAAAAAAGGGAAAAAGGATGAGTTTGGAAGTTTATTTAGAAACTGCATCAAGTGCCAAAGCTGGAAGTTCCTTTGCAGTCATACCTTTAGGAAGCCTGTAACTGGGGGTAAGGAAGGACTCATTTGATCTTCATTTAAGTCAAGACCTCAGAGCTGACATACAGGATTCTTACAGAAATAAGACAGAGCTACACAAAAAAAAAATCTTTATTAGTAAAACCACAGTACTACCTGGGCATTTTTTGTTTACAGGAATAGTCCCTTTTTGTATTGTTAGAGAATGGCTTGAGCCCTTTCTTTAAGTCTAGAACTTGATTACTCTTATCAGTAAGTTCTATTCCAGGCCGTGATATCTAAATTGCAATGCCAAATCCCCAGCTGGAAACAACAGTGCTCAACTAGATATCCTATGAATTTCAGGTTTGGAAAAAACTACTGCATAACATAGATGATGCTTACTAAGGTTCAGTGATTTTCTTTCCAACTCATAACAATCTTTAAACTTACAGCAACAGCCCTCCATCATCAGCTATTACTCTCTGTGAGTTTGACTGATGAACCATCAGTAATTACAAAAAGGGAACCACCACGCAGAAGATGTGCCAACAGAAGGAACAGCTGTGACAGTTTGGGCAAGGGGTGTGCACTGTCCAGGTCAGCTGGGTAGCTCAGAATAGGTGAGACAACCTGAGAGCTGAGCACTGGAGAGAGCTTCCCCTGACCTACTCCCCCCTTTCTAAGAGTGGTCATGGTGGGAAGAAGAAAGAGCAGCACTATCAGCCAGGACAAGCACAGGCTCCCTCCCAGCTCCCACAGACTGATGCTGGAATCAACACTGCTAGGTGTTCTGATCCCACTTCCCCAGGCTACCTCCTGAAGCTACTACTGTCTTCTTCTGCCATGGTGGAAGGGGTGGGCAAAGGCTTAAGCTTATGGCCAAATCATCCCACACAATTACAGTCACTAGATTCTAACTATCCCTCCCCTCTGGTACCACTTTAATTCCCCAGTCCTGTACTACCCAGACACCATGCCAGGCCCCCTTTTCCCAAACATTTCCACCCCAGCTCTCTTACTCACAGCCTGGTAAGTGCCTGTCCCTTTTCCACTTCACCTTTTGTCCCCTCATCTCCACACTCGCATCATTTCAACTACCAACCCTCAATCTCTATGATAGCAGACACAAAGACCTTTATCCCAGTCGTCTTACTGTCCACCATAATCATGTACACAGATTTTTCCACAGATTCACATTCACATTCCTTTATTATTTCTTATATTTTACAAATTGCTCAAAATAACAGTGGTATACATACAATCCAATATTTTTGAGCAATTTGTAAAATATAACAGTGGTATACATACAATCCAATATTAGACACATAAGCCGAAGCTCATGATTTAAGATGCTGGTATCTTATGCCATCAATACCAACGAGAAAGATTTTTCCCAAAGGCAATTTAGACCATGGCTCTAAGTCTCATTCTGAAAAAGAAACTCCCTCCATTTTCTGTATTAAAAACCTAAGGAAAACACCCTTCTAACTTCATGAAAGTCTGAACTGTCCAGAAATTATCCTCAAAATCCTTTGCTCCTGCTAAAATATCTAAAGACTAATTTTTCCAACTAAGCAAGCACAGCCTAAAATAAACTTACAAACTCTTTAGAAAAACTTACTCATATGTTGAGTAGGTTCATTAAATGCCATGGAATTCTTCCACAAATTGCAAAGAGAAGCTATACACTAGAGTGATATGGACAAAGAGACTATTAAATTCAGAACACTTACATAATTTATGCTGAATCAAGAAAACTAAATCAATTATGGAAATGAATAGGGGGAAAAAAAGTGAAGTAAAAAAGCAGATTTTGATAAAAGCTTCACAGAAAAAATTAGCCTCAATGTTATCTGAGGAGATTCTCAGCATTCTGAGTGGGAATAAATCCACTACAGACTCCAAATCAGTAAACTACTGGAACAAGTAAGAATATCTAAGATCAGGCATGCAACCAGGTTAAAAGGAAGTGTCACATTGTCAACTACAACCATGGTTTCTAGCAGACATATTTGAATATATAAAGACTGTACTTAACTAAGTAAAGCCAATGTTACATAGGGAAAATCATAATACTAATCTTTAAAAGCTGCAGATTTTCCCTCACCTGAAGGATCCCCCAATGACTTTATGTGTAAAGTCATCCAAACTTTCAACATCATCAATATATCAAACCAAGTTTGCTATATATTGACCTCAATTGCTGTTTGCCAAGAGCAAAAACGATCCTGTTTGCAAAACAGCTCTAAAGAAGCCTGGCATAAGTTATCTGCTTAGCATCGTGTAAACATGTTGTGGGAATCCAAAAAGTGGATCCATTCCTTAACACAGTATCAGTCATCATCTTATCCTCAAGAAGATTTCCCAACTTCTGGGGAAAAAAAAAAAAAGGACAAAAAAAAAAGACTGAATTCCTATAAGAGACATACTTTCTACATAACCCTAATTCATTTTCTCGCCACTTTCTTTTCCACTCATAGGAAAAGAAACCCAAAAGATGAAATGCAAGCAACTGAAAATTTAAATCCCTTCTGCAACACTCAGGTGAACCAGAATCTCTCTAAAATATTTGCATGCAGTCGTGGAAACAACAGTTCAGAGGTACTAAGCAGAGAAATTCTACATTCTTTCACGTTGTTGCTCTCCGTGGAGATTTCTCGTCCTGTTTTCATCATGGGGAGAAAAAAAACAAACCAAACCAAAACTAACATTTCCTAAACATCTCCCCAGTGTTATTTTGTAACAGAGCAACATTGTTATCAAAACATTTCAGAAAATTTCCCAGGGATGTCAGCTGTCCATACCAAATGCCAACAGGTGAAAAAGTTTTTTGTGATGGAAAGCATTAATTAAATCTTGAGTACAGTTGGCTGATCAGACTTAACATTGAGCATCACTGCGTAAGTTTCCTATAGCAGCAGTGAAACATACAGACACAGCCTTTCCAGTGGGAGAGGCACCATACCACAAAACTAGATGTTTCACAAATGAACTGGAGGCAGCAGCTGCCTGCAGTTCTAAATGCCTGTGCTGAGACGTTGCAGGGGTGAATTCTCCCTGCATCAACCCTTTTTTCCCATGTGATCAACTATGACGACCTCCCTAAAACAAAAGCTGGCAACAGGAATGGTACTGGCTTTCAAAAAGCTACACTCAGCTCATCTAGCTGGTACCAAAAAACTAAGATGGCAGTAACAAAACAGAAAGCTTATCTGAAGAGCTTTAGTATTGAATAACACAGCTCTCACTTCAAAGGAGTTACATACATAAGCATGTGCATATGTGTGTATATACACACTCACACCCACCCCCCTCATATTTGTCACTTCTACAGCCAGCTTTATTCTATCTATTTTCATAAATTTATTTTCATTGCAACATTCGCTGTCCCTTACTGCTATAGTCACTGGCCAAATTTTGGCTTAGTTTTTTGTTTTGTTTTTTTGCGGGGGCAGGGGAAGAAGTAAGGTTGGTTGTTGGTTTGGTTTGTTTTACCATCAAGTCTAGTGAAGTTAACAGTGCCTTTGCTTCCTCACTGGTGGAAATTTAGAACATGCTTTAGACAATATTAACATAGCTTACATTCCCAAACCGCTTGTTGCATAGTTTTATTATTTTTCCACATACATTAGTGCTTAAAATTCTACATCTTAAGTAAGCATTTAAATCTGCAACATACATCTCAGGTAATGTGCTTATTTCCTAGTCATTCAAAGAAACACTGACTATTCTGCAACACCTAAATACTGATGCAATACTATATTGTTGGGGGGGGGGGGAAAAAATGTTTAAAAGCAGTGCAGTTTTAAATGAGCATAATTTAAAGATTACTCAGGCAGAAAACTTACCATCTCCAGCAGGCAGGCCTCGTTCTTTTTTCTCATCACATTTGTTGCATTCACTGAAGTACAGCAACAGAAACATATCCAGAAGGACCCAAACCAAAGAGGTGGCAAGGACCACCTTGCAATATGCAAATTTTTTCATGGCACTTTAAGTCAAATACAAAAATTAAAAAGTATAAATAAAAATATCAACAGGTTGCTTTAATCCAGTTTGAGAGACGTTCTGTATCTGGGGGGAAAAAAAAAAAAGAAAAAAGTCACAAAAAGTTATAAGAGGACAGCAGCTAAAAGCAGAAATTTTAACTACATTTTAATGGTAACAATTTAGTTACCAAATGCTGTATGTATCAAAATGAATGCCCTATGCACTCCAATGAGATTAAGGGAACAAGGTCAATCAAAGCAGCATTACTCCAGTCCTTCACTATGTTAACATTCATCACCTGAAACGTTAAAACAATTGACCAAAACAGAGTGCTCTGCTGAGCCACTGGAGAAGAGGGTAGGTACATCTAATGAAATTAAAAGGAATTCTCTGGATCCTCTAGAAATCAGAACAAGCTAAATGGAACCAGGAACATCTCAGGAAGCAGGGTATCAATCTGTGCTGTGTGAAGTCCATGGCTAATATTCCTCATGCTCCTCCCATGCAGTACACACGGACTTTCTGTGCCCATCACTAGGAATGCTAGTCTACAAATGCCTGTATTTTCAATAAAGTCTAACGGCACATTACACCTTTGTCACAAAGACAAATGCTTTGCTTTCAGCAAACCAAACATAAACATCCCTTTTGGTAAAGTTAAACAGTAGGCAGAGTGAAGAAAGTACCTACAAGCCACTGTGATCATATTCAAAGCTAAAGGTATCAACTGATAATTTTGATGCTTAAAGTGACTTTAATAATTTAATGCTTGATTATAGAGCAAACTTTTATATGTTTTTCAACATGTATACATTAAAATTTTAGAATGCCAATCTTTGAAATTCTCTTTTGTCCTACTCAAATTACAAGCAAATTTTGTTACAAGGACTGCTTATTTCCATGACTGACAATTGGGTAGGACAGAATCAAGAACAGCTTTGGGCTTGTTCACTTACACCAAAATATGATTTTTTAATTTTTTTTTTTTTTTTTTTAACCAACAGGTTCCCCACCAGTGCTGACGTGTTTCAACACAAAATACTCCCAAAGTATTTCCCAGTGGGAATAGCTTACTAGTTAAAACCAGACTTGAAAATATTCTTAACTTATAAAATAAACAGGAAATAAGACTCTTCAAAAACACACTAGAATTTTAAAATTGACATGCATACAGTTTCTCTTACGTGCTTTCAGCCTAAACTGAAGAATTTATTGAAAAGGAGAATTTTAATCGTAAGGCATGATTATGAAAAAACCTCACAAAAAACTCTATCATTAAGTCTACCCTTCCTTTAGTACTTCACTGTCATAATTTGATTCCTGCCTTCCCCGCCGCCCCTCCCTGCTTCTTGAGGGAAAATACTATGACATCCCTCTTCTAAATACAGCTTACTACTCCTTATTGGCAGCAGAGACATTCATGTCTCCATGCATCCCTATACACCTAAGTGGCATCGGTTTGGATGGCAGAGCGACATAGGAGCCAGTAACGTTCCACTGCTACAAGACTAGAAGGGTATATCTCCCTCTGCTTCCTGCATAGGTGCGCATCAAATGCCAAGAAAGAGTTTTGTTTGGGATAATCTCAGTTTGCATCTATATAGTTTTGGTATACAGGGATGACTATATAAAATGAAGAACTGCAAAAGTATCTGTAATTAACAACTTGATGATAAAATAGCACATGAAATTACCACAATGAAACATTAAGTGAGGTATGTTAAGAAAAAAATCCTAGGGGTTGTTTCTTCAGGTTTTTTGGTTGTTTTTTTTGCTTTGTTTTTATAAATAGACACAAGGATGGGCCTGAACTTTGGATCCTGGAGTTGCACTATAAAGATCTATAAAACCATCAGCTTGGTGATCAGCAGCAGTGAAAGAAAAGTAATTTGTTACAGACTACTAAGAGAAGAAGAGAAACCAAACCATCACTATGCCATTACACAGTATCTGCTTTCTCATCTTGAGTGCTGTATGAACATCCAGTCTTGTCATTTCAAAAAGGATATAGAAGGATTAGAAAGGACAAGTGAGAAGGGCAAAAGGATGAAGACAACAAGGAATAGCTTCATTATAAGATGTAAGTGAAGACAGTAGCATTATTCCTGGCTGGAAAAGCTGTAATCAAGTGGCAGGTCTATAAAATCAAAAGCTGCATGGAGATGGTAAATAGAGAACAACTGTGGCCTGTTACTCCTATTTCTTGTATTGGCAGAAATCAAGTAAATTTAGCAGCAAGAGGTTAAAAAACAAAAGGAAGGTATTCCCCACAATGTGTAGTTATGCAGGGGAACTGCCTGCCACAGTACACTGCCAGTGCTGCAAGTCTGTTCATCAGCTGTTAAATACCAAGTCCTCACCCCTACTTCAGGCAGACCCTGACTGTGACCCTCAAGTCACTGCACGCTAGGAGAGTACGGCGAGGAAGTATCATTACAATTTCCCCTGTTCTCTTCCCTAGATATACGCTACCAACCACTGGCAGAAACAAATACTGTATACAGATGAAATCTGTCTGACATGGTACGACTGTACTTAAACTCTCCATACAATTGGTTTCTTCTTTTGCTCTCATTCAGGATGCCATAGAAATGATCTGGCAAAGAATCAAGTCATACCACCACCCTGCTTGTACAAATGCCAATTAAAAACAACATGTTTTAAAAGAAAACTAAATAAATTCTTATAATCTCATACTTCTCAAAGTTCAGACTCATGAGGTATTAGGCTATAAAAGAAAGTGTAAAACACATAGGGGCATGGTGCTTAGGGGTCCTCAAATTAGCAAGGCACCAGGAGGAGAACTGTTATCTAGACCTTCTGTCCATAAAAATACCAGCTATATTAAGTGTTTTAAAGTGCATAGGCTGGCACTGTATCTGCTTCTAATGCAAGAAAATTCCTTTTGAGAGTTTAGGGAACCCTTTGAATCCTTTGAGGGTTCAGGGAAGTGATCAAGAGACAGCAATGCAAAGTTCAACACACACCAGGTACCATCAATAAGGTCCTTCCCTGTACCTTTAGACAAAGGCTCTCACTCTCCCTTGGGCAGTTTACCATCTCATAAATCAAAACCAGTGGTAAGAATACAGTGTATGACAGCACTTCCACTGTCGGCTTACCAGGAGAATTCAGGCAGCACAGTAGTGAAGCAGAGGCGCCCAGAAACTGCTGAAGCAATTGCTCTTAGCACACCAGAGCCTTGACCCAGACAGACCTCTGGAAGAGGATTCCACCATCCAGGGCTTGGGCTGTAAGAAATGCTAGGTACCTCTCTCTGGTGCTGGAGCAGTGGTGGTGGCCTCACCCATGGGAGGGGTGCTCTGCCAGAGGTGCTGCTTCCTCAGTGGAAGGAGCTACAGGACAAAGCGGGCAGACTGGTACACCATGAGCAAGGGCAAACAGTAAGTAGACAGGTCTCCACAGAGACCTTGCAGCACCACAAGTCTGAACCCCATGATGCAAGGAAGAAGAGACAGCCAGGCATTGCACTCAAAGGATGAGTGGATGAAGACTCCCAAGATGGGGGCTGAGTGAGGGACAAATCCAAGAAATTAGTGACTTGTGGCAACAGAAGGAAAGCCTGCAGATGTGCATTTCCAGAACAGTTATACTGCCTGGGATGCTGTTGAAAGACTGATGAGTCTGCCCGAGTTCAGCTCTTAGACAACCACCCCTTGGCTATTCATTCATGTATGAATCAATGACACTGCCAGGTGTGAACCTGAGCATATGAGCAGTGACTTTAGAGCTCAGGGTGGGTGGTAGAGTGTAGCAGGCATGGGACCCAGATACTGCTCTCCTCAATTGCTCCAGTGAGAGGGCAAGATTCAGGCAGGAGTGCACGCAGCCTATCAACACCTGGCTGCGTGGCTGGTGTCAAAGGCAGGCTTTTAAGACGATAGGACCTGCTTTGAGGAATGAGGGCTGCTGGTCAGGATCTGTGTGACAAAGTGAGGCAAGCAGCATTATGGAGAGGCTCTTGCACTACTTCTGTGAAATACACAGAAGGCAGAAGCAGAGCTACTTTGGAGGAATATAGAAACATCTCCTGAGCCTGTGGGGAGGTACTCAGGGAACCCTGTAGTTCAAGTTTGGAAGAAACAAGAGCAGCAACAAGAAAGGCACCTGTAAGGATACCGGCAAAAGAAAGGCTGAGAATAACACAGATCCACTCCTCAGTGGGGCAGCAGACCCCAGCAGGTGTGGAAAAGGCTAAAATACTTGGTGCCTTTTTTTGCCTCCTTTGTTATTGGGTGCCCCAGATCAGAGTCTAGTGGCAGTCTGTGGGAGTGAAACTTCACATGCACTACAGACAGATTGAGTCAGGGATCTCTTAAGCCCCTTGGACATGTGCACCTCCATGGCACCAGATGGGAAGCATCTGAGGGTGCTGAAGGAGCAGACTGATCTTATTGCGGGGTCATTCTCTATCATCTCTGAAAGGTCATGGTGATCCAGAGAGTTGCCTCAGGATTAGGAAAAAAGCTATCATCAAGAAGGAAAAGGAGGATCTGGAGAACCATCTGCTAGTCAGTCTCACTTCAGTCCCTGTGAAGATTATGGATCAAATCTTCCTGGAACCTACATCCACACACACACAAAAACACCTCAAAAGGGCAACTGGGAATAGCACAGATTCACCAAGGGCATATCAGACTTGACCAACCTGGCAGCTTGCTTTAAGGAGAGGACTGGTTTGGTGAGCAGTGAAGAATGTGAAGAGCAGTGAATGCTGTTTACCTTGACTTTAACAGGGACTGTGACAGTCTTCCAGAGTACTTTGTCAGAACTGAATGAGACATCACCTGAAGAAATGGGCTAACAGGTGGGTGGACTGCTAGCTGGACCACCAGGCTCTATGGGTTTTGACCAGCAGTACAAAGTCCAGCTGACAGACATTCACCAGTGGTGCCCTTCAAAGGTCAAAACTGGAGCTGATATTGGTTAGTGTCTTTACTGAGAACCCGGGGGATGGGACCAAATGCACGCTCAGCAAGGTTGCTGGTGACACCCAACTGGGGGTGGAGCACGCAGACAATACCCTGAAACAGTACCTTGGAACGGCCCTAGGTGGCCAATCC